AGGCCAGGGAAGAAGGATCAGGCAGGTCTCACAGGCCAGGGAAGCAGGATCAGGCAGGTCTCACAGGCCAGGGAAGCAGGATCAGGCAGGTCTCACAGGCCAGGGAAGCAGGATCAGGCAGGTCTCACAGGCCAGGGAAGCAGGATCAAGCAGGTCTCACAGGCAAGGCAAGGATCTATTGAAGGTCTTAAAGCAGGCACACTCTTGGCATTTTAAAGGATTATTCTAGTCAATGAATGGATAGTGAAGGAAGGATGGATGGATTGTATAGGCGCTAACAGGAAGCTACTGACTGAAGAAGACTAAAAGACATTATGGTGCTTTGGACCAAGGTAATGGCAATGGACCTAGAACAAGACTCTATTCAATCAGTATGTGATAGGAACCCAGATGTCCATCAGAGGTATTGCGTTTTTAAAGAGCTAGTGTCTACTTTAGGAAGAATAATGCAGTCTCCAATACATTATAATGCAGCACACAAACTCCACTTCTATATATTTCATTTCTAGACATATAGCTCAAGTCAATTAGTACTGAAGATCAGTGTATATGGGGAAACCTAATACTGGGCTGTTTTCTATCCACTCTTCTCATGCCTTTGTACATGTTTCATGGAACTTATAGTTGGATTACAGAATACAAGACTTGGCTCTATTTTATTAAGTTAGAATTATAGCTGAGAAAGAATTGGAAGGCAACCTAATCTATCATCTACTTGTAATTGGTGCCATGTAGAAACAAAGATGAGCTATAGATCTCACTGGTAGACCACTAGACTTTGAGATAGAGATTATAACTAATATCAGATCATGGAGCTTAAAGCAATAGTTGAAAATAAAATCTTTTTTAATCATTTTTTACATTTTTAATAACTACATGATTAGAAGAAGCATTTCATTACACCTTTAACATATTCAGTAACACACTCCAGAGCAAGAGTACATCTCTTTCATAAGTGGCTATAAGTTTCTAGGTTCACAATTGAATTAATACAGTTAGACAATATTAAACTCAGTATAAACCCTGTAAGACACAAAATTGAATGAGTTTTTAACCTTTAAAAAAGATCTCCATTTCATTTTAGAATATATTGTTCCTTGCAGAAAGACTCATTGTTTTTGCTACTACCACTGAGATGTTGGTACATGCATCTCTAATCTGTATGTATCTATTACTAGTAATAATTGGTTACATTTGGATCCTTGGTTCCTGTGAATGTCTATAAAGTCATTGGGTAGATTTCAATGGTAATATTTATCACCTCTACTAATTAACCTGACGTAAATTTCCATGCTTCCTCCTCAAATATAATACATTTTTTAAAACTTTGTTGGGAGTTTTTTTTGTGTGTGTATACCACACAGAACATCCCAAACCATCTTATTCAACTATTCAACTATACACCCACTTCCAAGATGGCACCCTCCCATAGCCTCCCTCCCCCCACTAGAGCCTTTATACTCTGATATCCCTGCTACTGTCTACTGTGTTGTCGGCACCCCAGCCATTCCCCACTACTTGTCTATCTGGTGAATCTAATCAGCCTATCTAGAGGTCTTTGTTTTAGGAAGGTCAGCTGTTCCTCATCTAGCAGCAATGAGTTGTCGATATTCCTTTAGATAAGATTGGGGTCTGCTGTTCATTTTCCCAGTTCTATGTTGGCTTACTATCTGGGATTCCCTTGAGCCACCCTGGCCAACAACTCAAAAGAAGGTATTTCCTATCTGGCATTGTTGCTTGTTATGTAGCCTTTAGCTATGCATATGGACTCTTAAAAAATTATATTGGCCCCTTTAATCTTTGGTTATAATTTCCTTTTGGGCATATAAGGCCATACAGTTGGCCCATATAAACCAATTTATTTTTACTCTTAACGTCGTTTGGGGATCTGTTCTTCAAGGGTCACATGGGATTGGGAGGAGCCCCTAGCTCCTTTCTTTTACCAGTTCTGCCTACATGAAGATAAGTCAAAGGTCCTGTTTGACCATGGTTGGCTTCACTTGGAAGCATGGAGGAAATGATTCCTCTGTGTTGACCCTCCTCTTTGTAGGCTGGACACTGGTTCAAGTCCATCTGGTGGGGTCTCCTCGGCCTCCTTGATCAAGAGAACAGGTGACCCCCCACAATTAAAGGACATTTTGAGAAATGCTCACAGTCCCCTGGAACTAGTCGACCTAGGAGGGCAAGGAACAAAAACTGTCCTTTATGTCCCTCTGACCAAATTAGTATAGACCTCAAAGTATGTCTGTTAAACATGAAATCTTTTGTTAAAGTTTGGTTTATTGAACTTTTGTGTATTTCATACAGAACATCTCAATCGTAATACCCCTGTCCCCACTGGCACCCTCCCCTACCCCCACCCCACTGGAGCCCATATACTCTGTCATCCTGTTAAGGCCCACTGCCCTATCTTGATGGCTAATCTAGAAGTTGCTTTGAGAGTTAAAATAAGAAAGATGAAGGAATTATTCCCAGGAAAACTTTCTGAAAATAAAGATAATTGTCCAGATACAAAATATCTCAAGACATCATATTTCATAACATGTCAAAATACTTAACAGAGATTATTTGGATGATCAAAAGAAAGAAAAAGGAAGACAAAATAAGACAGAAGGAAGTAGAGGAAGTAGAGGAAAAAGGTGGTCAGAGAAAAGTCACCCTCATGGCTGACACAATCACCAACCCCTTCCCCACATACTTGTTCTACACTCCAGAAGTTCAGCCTCTTGTCTTATCTATTTAATTTGTTTAAGCAAATGTTTTTAATATTTTTTATCCATGAAGGTTTTGACTTGAATTGAATCCAACCATGACTCTTGATTTTCTAGATGACAAAAACACATAATCTGTTAATGTACAAACTCCTCTGTCTACTATCCAGGGCAAAAGCAGACCAAGGAGCAAGGAGCTACGTAAGGCAGCAGCCTCTGAAAGTACAGAACGTAGCCTCCAGTAGCAATAAACTGGCCATGGGATAAAATGAAGAGGCTTTGAAGAATTTAACAATTCTAAGAAGGCATTACGTATATCTTTCAAGTAAATTAACAATTATAGCTGTGATTTAAGAGGTGGATCATTACAAATACTATTTGTTTAATATTATGCATTGTTCACTTCCAACACTACAATTAGAAATAACTAACTGCAGCCAGGCATGGCAGCACATCCCTTTAATCCCAGTCCTCGGGAGGCAGAGGCCTGAGGATCTCTGTGAGTTGGAGGTCAGTCTGGTCTATATAGCGAGTTCCAGGACAGCTGGAGCTACACCTGTCCCAAAAGAAAAGAAAGAAAAGAAGTAACCAAGTGCATTACTCTGGGCAGATTTGCTATTTCCTGGGTTTGTTAAAATTTGTATGGATTGGTTACTACAGCTCTAGAAAAGTGCTCACTGTGCTTGAAGGATTTCATTTGGCTAAGGATTTGACTTCACATTCTTCCACTCATTACACAAACACATTGATCTTCACATATAGCACGACTCAGTAGTTGTGTTCAGTATTAGTCTTTGTGCTTATTAAAGTCCTTGGATTCATGAAGTCATTGACGTTCAACAGAGGAAAACTCTAGAGCATCTTTGTTTCAAGTGGGCAAATTTATATAGCTATTTAAACAAAGCATATAAAATACAGATTTCAAAAATCCCTTTCCTCATTATGTCTATCCCAGAAAGACATAATCTAGGTGTACATTTTTTAAAGAGTGAAAATAGGATGTTGTGAGTCAATGTTCTGCCATTATTTCCTCCTACATCTGAGGGTCTCTCCAACAACTCCAGTTGTCACTGTGATGTGTCATCACAAGCCTCAAAGCTCCGACTTGAAACATTGTCCTTTGATCCTGTTTCTTCTCGGGAGTGCTGTGGTTGTGCACGCTAAAAGCTGGAGTGAACTCTGTTAACTGGGCTTTCCCCCCGACACCTGAGCCTCTGAACAGAAGCTAGGAATGCTCTGAACTCCACATTCCAGCAACAGAGGGAAGCACTGTTGCAGTGCTCACCTGACCCAGGGTGCACCCAGGTGCTGAGTATTTAGGCAGCGAATGGAAGGTGCAGCGTGGCTCAGTGCAGACTTTCAACCTCTAAGCTGGGCCTGGGACCTCAGAGAACCACTTCAAATAAAACTTAGTTCCTTCTGTACTCTGAGGAGAGTAGTTAATCCTTATCATGACAACTTAAGGCCCTGGCCAGATTGAATGGCAGTTCTGAGAGCTGTTTCCTAGTACAACTTGCCTTCCTGGTAACTAGTGGGTCTTAACCCTTCCCAGAGCTCTACAGAATCATGTAGCTAGAAGCACTGCACACATCTTATTTATAATGTTCAAATGAATTTCAAAACCACCAATGGAGATCTTGGTTTCAAGGATATACATTTTTATAAAAAATAGTTCAACAGTGTGTTCAGCCAAAGAATTATTTAAGATAAAAGCAGACAAAATGTAATCTTCTTTTTTCTGTTCCTAATCAGAAATATTCTAGTACTTCCTCCTCCTCCTCTTCCTCCTCCTCCTCCTCTTCCTCCTCCTCCTCCTCCTCCTTTTCCTCCTTGAATTTTTGATACCTTTGAATAGAGCAAAATCTGACATTCCAAAGTTTTCTACTTCACAATACAGCAATTTACATTTATCTCCATCAGTCCCAAACAAAATAACTGAACACATCAGCAAAACTCTGCACTTCAGTAATCTATTCCTAAGAAGCCTATCCACAAAACACTGCATGATTATGATGAGGCACGTTGCATTCCCACTGGGGGTGGGGGAATAGTACAACAGATAACATTGTAAGACCAAAAGGAAAATTGTGTGTAATTGAAATTTTAGAAGGAATTTCTGAGTGTTTGAGAGATTAGTAGGAGGTACAAAGTAGTGTTTAGCTTTTCAGTCGTTAAATTTTATTTCATATTTAGGCATACTGATTTTTCCATTCAAGCTCTAAGTCAGAGGTTTAAAATTTTCTATAATTTCTTATCTTTAAGTTAACAATTCCACCCCCATATCCCCCAAAAGACTCAGGAATCATTTTAAGGCACTGCTACCAAATGTGGTCAAGTGGACGTACGTCTGATCCTCCTGAAATATCGCAAATGTTTAAAGGTTGAATCAGAAATGCACAGTCATTCATATCTTCTAGCTGGAAGATTTTAAGTAATGCAGAAACATTCACCAGTAGAAATCCAACCAAGGTGCCCAGCTCTTAATCATCCTTTGGCTCAAGTCTAAATAGTCCTTTAAATAACACAGCATAGTCAAGGCTAGTGCAACCACGGTGTGCATCCGCATACTGCTAATTCCTTTTGCACGTGTTTGTATCACACAGTTTAGCACTTTATTACATGCTGGCTGGCCATCTGACTGCTGCCTTTATCATCTTATTCAAAGTATATTCCAAGATACAGAAAAGCTGTGACCCTCGTGTAAAGACCTCTGTAGCCCACACAATTCTTGGCAGGCCAATGTGCATTTAATACCATTTATGCTTATTAATATGTTATTTTAGAAATCTTTTGGGTAAAACACCTCTTGAAAAAAAATCTCAAGATGATATTTCTGCTACTGATGTCCCCAGAAAGTGAATTTTTATTCCTTCACACCCAAATCACTCACACTTGGGGAAATAACTATCAGAATTCAATAGTAGCCAGATCAGTTTTATCAAGTCACTAACAGTCATTTTGTGTTAAGTTTGTAAACAAAGCACTCTGTATAATTTTTAGTAATACTACATCCCATCAATCAATATAAGTTATATCAAAGGGCAATCCAACTGTTAACCAATATATTCCTATTTAGTAGAATACTTTAAGGGACATAGTCAGATAATAACCAAATAAAATCTTTCAAAGTAAGATGAGAAAGGAGAGAGAGAGAGAGAGAGAGAGATCTTGTATTCATTTATTAAATTTTACTTACCACAACTACAAATACAGTCTACTCTCTAAAATGTTATATCTGAGTAAAATACTACAAGCACACATAAAAAAAGAAGCTATAATGTATTTAGCAAATTGAATCATTTCATCAGTTTATATTTTACGTGGAATGCACAAATATATAAATCCCAGCTTTTTTCTTTTAACAAGTGATATAATGAGCCCTAAGATTGCATGTGCATATGTTTTTGCTTTGGAGGTGCTTATGTTGACATAAGTGACTTACAGATCATCAGGACAATTTCTTGGTGGCTCCAGTCTCCCTCCTGCTTGCACATAGTTTAAAACATCAAGGTTGGAATGCGCTGGATAAGGTTGATGACCAAGAGTTAAAATCTCCCAAACTAGAATTCCAAAAGACCTAGGATGTTAAAGGGTTCACTTTAATTATACTTATTACAAGCATCAGGTTTACAGTAGCTTCTCCAACATCATCATTCCTGGGGCTACAGTGTCTACTTCATGATAGGCATCATTGGTTTTTATAAAAGACAAAGAGGAGACTTAAAAGAGGATGTTGACATTAAGGAAAAGCAGAACAAGACTGTGGACGAGCCACATTTTACAGGTGACGGGCTTATTGGGGGCACACAAACAGAAAAAGACCTACACATATGTACAGATACACGCACAGACACACGAGAGCACATGCAGGAGACATGCATGCACTCGTTCGTGCCTGTATATGTGTGCATATGCACACACATGCTCTCTTCCTTTCCCCGGCTGAAACTGCACTGCTGACTTCTGTTTCCCACATCTTTCAGAGCATCAACATGCAGACACAGACGTGAGCAAGCGCATGTCACCATTTCCTCCCATTTGAAGGGGATAAAATGATGACAAACATGGAAAGAGAAGTCATGAATAAAAACTTGTATCACTAAGGACAAATTTTCTTCTATGGCCTGAGCATCAGCTTGAAATTCACTGAACAAATCAATATGTTTTAAATTTTTAATTGAATTTTTCTGAATTTCATATAATGTATTTTAATCATACTTAGACACCCCTCCCCTCTTATAGCACCCCCTTTCTGGATTTCATGTATTCTGTCATATATATTAAGGTCTACTGAGTCAATTTTGTGTCCTCAAATGTCCTTTGGTGTGTGTCAATCCACTGGAGCCTGGTTAACCTGTCAAGTGTCATAACCTTAAAGACAATCAATCTTCCTCTCCCAGTAGTCATCGGTTCCCAATAGTTTCTCAACTGAAGTTGGGATTTCTTACCCACTTTCCATCTATGCTAGGATCTGTCTGTCTTGAATTTCCATGGGTTTTGTACCTGCTGCTACCATTGCTATAAATTCATATGAGTAACTTCCCAGCTGCCTGGCAAACTCTGTTTACTTGTGGTCATTTACCACCTCTGGCCTCCTTTTCCACAATGGTCCCTGAGCCTTGGGTGGCAGAGGTTTGATATAGGTGTCCTACTCGGGGATAAGCACCCTCCAGTCTCTTATTAACGGCACGTCCACAAGTTGTGACTTTCTGGGTTAATTACCATATGTTACACATGAGGAAGTCTCATCAGTGAGAGTTGAGAGAAGCATTAGTATTCTTTCCGCTCCCTGTTCCACTATGTTCCCTGAACCTTAGGTGTAGAGGTTGCGTTGTAGATGTATCACTTATCTGTACATTTCAAGAAGCTCTAATTAAAAGGTAGGAACCAACAAGAAAACCTGAGGCCTTGTTCAAATAATAAAGAGATGTCCAAAAATCCCCCAATATCCTACTTTTTGTTGTAACCCATAACAAAGTCTACCTATAAATTAATGACAAAACATTCCAAAGTAGTAGATATTTGAACACATACATGAGCATGCAAACTTACACACCTTTGATGTGCAACAAAATACTTGAAATAAGTGAATCTGTTTCATATACAATTTTAAGATAAATGATCAAAATGATTGGGAGAGGGGTATCAATGACCTAAGACCCAGAATAGTTCCTCCTTGACCACCAGCTTGAGGTGACTCATTTAACCTCTATGTTGTCTCATATGAAAAACAAAAACAAGAGCTGCTAAGATGTCTCAGTGGGTAAAAGTACTTACTGCACAAGCCTGGAGACCTGCGTTTGAGCCCCAGATCCCATGTAAAGATGGAAAGAGATACAAATCCACAAAGTAGTCCTCCAACTTCCCCTCATATAGCATAGTACATGTGTGCTGCAACCACATATATACACATACACACAATAATAATAGTAAAATAACTTTACAACAAGAACAAAATTGGGCATCCTGACATTTGACAGTTCTTCCGCCATGTCTGGGTCCTGTTTAGCTCACCATACATCAGATTGAGTAGTGAAGATACCATCCACCAAGCTTTCTGGAGCCATCCACCGAACAGGGAGCAGGCCTTCTCCTCTTTTTCTATAATAATCATTTTTATAGATTTCCCTCGCAAGTCCAAAGTCACCGATCTTCACTATCCTAGAAGGATTGGTATAGTCCTTCACAGAAACAAGGCAATTCCGAGCTGCCAGATCCCTGTGGTAGAAGTTACATTTGATAATAACAGTGTTTCAGAGATCAGACAAGTAATGCTAGAAGGTCTGTAAGAAGGGAGACTATCTGATGGCTAACAGTGGTAGTCACTTTGGAAGGATCTAGACTCACCTAGGAGAAAAGGCCATGTCTGTAAGGGAGTTTCTACATTAGGTTGAAAGCCCACCTTAATTAATTAAGTAGTGAAAGCCCATCCTAACTGTGGCCAGCACTATTTCATGGGCTAGGGTTCCAGACTAAATAAAAAAGAGACAGCTAGCCAAGCTCCAGCATTCATCTCCCTCTGCTTCCTGAATGCAGATGCAATGTGATTGGCTGCCTCACACTCCTGCTGCCATGAATTGCCCCAACCATGATGGACTGTTTACTCAAAGTGTAAGCAAAATAAACCCTTCCTTCCTTAAGTTGCTTTTGCTGAGTATTTTGTCATAGCAATGAAGAGACTCTTTGCAGTAATACTGCTACTTTGGAGGAGTGAAAATATTTAACTCTGTAGTGTGACCTATCCAAACTATACATGGTTATGATGTGGACGCCCATAATAACCTTGTGTCCAGAATATCACTGTACCTATGAATGAAGTGCATCTGTTCCAAGTAGACACAGCCTTCTGAAATATCTACACACAGGTCTACAAGATCAACCAAGGTGAGTAAGGGACCATGAAGCTGTAGGAGAGGAAGAAAGAATTACAAGCACTTGTCTAATTAGCAAAAAATACATATATGTATGAATAGATATGGATATTTACATATATACACATGTGCACTTTTGTATATGACTTTCTAAAAGGAATTTTTGTTATGGCTACAAAAACTCAAGAGGAAAATATACAAATACACATGGTAGCAAACAGTGTCTCTTTGAAATCTAGTTCTGCTATTAATTGTGTGACTCTGCTTGTTAATTAAGTAGCTTTTTAACATATAAAATGACCATAGTAAAACTGACCTTCCAAGATTCAAAATAAGATATGGAAAATTGCCAATATATAACAAACAATAAATAAATGGTATCTGATCTCATAGGTAGTAGCAATAATTATTTAGCCAGTACTAGCTAGTTTCATGACTGACCCAACGGTTTTCAAACCTGACAATCAAAACAGCGGAGTTCTACATAGAAGCCCCATGAAAACTGTTAGCGGTTCTCTCTCCACGTCACAGATTACCCTTTCTTCTAAAAGAGCCAGCACAAATATAGACTTGAGCATATACTCACTGTAAGGATTTCTAGTGAAAAAAAAAGTCATTCAAAATTTTATTAGTAGCATATGGAAAAAATTCAAGGTTCCTGCCTGGAGGCCAGAGTCATACATAGTCTGATCCTGTTCATATCCCTGCAATTACTTTGATTCAAGCCTTTATCATCCTTAATCTGGTACATCCAAAGACTTCTCATGTGTGTGTCCAGCCTCCTGTCCTTTCATTAGCCTACCTCACTTCCTGTAGAGTCCATTATCAGTCAGGCACAGTCTCAGGGCAGCCCCAGGCTGCATTAAACTCTCTGTACATTCCTTAATTTTCCTTTATTTCTCCTCTGACAAGCTGCACACTTTTTTTTTTAGCTACTTGCCCTTCCTTATATCTGATAGACATTTCTCAACCCGCTTCTTTTTCTGCTATTGATTATTTTCCCCCTGGGATGAACCCTTATTCCTGGTGTTCATCTATATCCTTCACTGAGCATCTCAAAGGGCTCCCAATCTCTACAACCTTCAAATCTGCCAACTCCTCATACAAGGGTGCTATCAAATGCTTCTCCATTGCCTTCTCTGACATGCTCATATCATGCCCTAAAACGAGGGATAATCTTGATAGTCTGCAAAAAAATACTGCCATGGCCCCATGAAAATACACACAGGGATGACTGACCACGTTCTGACCTGATATTCTAAAGGCTATGAGGTTCTAAAGGAATCTTTATTGTGGTTTCAAGACCTCAAGAGGAAAATATACAAATATACATGTTGAAAAGCTATATTTGCAGATTTGGAATGTGGCTCTACACTAATTGTGCAAATTTGCTTATTCATTAATTAAGCAATTTGCTTATATGTAAAAATGCGAATAGTACAACTGACCTCTCAAGATTCAAATTAAGACATGTAACATTGCCAACATATAAAAAGCACTTAATAGTTGCCCTCTCCAACCTGGCTCATGAGGGTCCACAAACATCTATGTCATGGCCTATGTCCAAATCCTGTTGCGCATCTTGACTACTTAACTGGTTGTTGTGTGAATGGAACCCTGCTTTGCTATGGCAAAAAGCCACTGCACTGGTGAAGATTTTCTTTGACTAGAATCCTCTCCTGAATTTCATTCTGGTGACAAACACTTTGTTCCCTGCTGACAAGATTTCCATGATGCTGCCTGAATCCCTGACCACCTCCTCTCTTCTCCCTTGTGGCAACACAATGCTACACCCACATCACTCTGTGGAGGGTCTCCTTGACTTCAGATGCTCTCACTACCTACTGTCTGTTGTATATTGCCAAATTCTCTAGTCACATTAAACCTTGATCAAGGTCTATCCCTGTCCAAGTGTTAATGACTCTGTGAGGGTACAGTTCTGTTACTGTTATGTCTCCTGCCCTGGTTTTGTCCCAAATACATGAACTCCTCCAGGGAGCCTTCCAGTTCTGCCAAACTAGAAATGAGCTCTCTTCCCTCCATGTTTCAGCACTCTATTTTCTACTCCATCCTAACTGATCCACCTGTTTTCTACCTTACATTAATGGTGTGGAAAGGAACAGACAATGGCCTTCAAACAAGAACTTTGAATTTTTTCCATTACTAAAAAAGCACCACATGGCAAGTTCCTTTAGAGCAAAAACACAACCTTCAGTGTTCTACCATTACCCACCCAACTAAAAATTGACAAATTCAATGGTATCTGGAAAGCAATACACTTAAACTTTTGTGTTTGTATAATTTTGATATTTTTCACTTTTTTCTATCTTAATGCAATCCTAGAAAACCAAAACTAAAAAGAAACTTAGAAAGTATTTGATTTAGTATTTCAGTCCATGAATAAGGAAACTCAGTTCCCCAGTGTGAAGCGCTTCACTGTTTGTTCACCTCGCTGTAGTCTATCCTTATCCTTCACCCCAATGAGACAGAGACAAAGAAAAAGCTGCCTGTGCTGCTGCTTCTGGCATGGTGCTTCTGAGAGCTCCTTGTTGGAGATGGCTGGTCACAAGTCACTCAGCATAAGAGAACTGGTTATCCGTGCTGTGCCCTGTGGGCACAGAGCACCAAATAGAATCCTGTCTTCCACAGTGGGAGTGAGAGAGATGAGGCCGAAGAAGACGTTCTAGTCAGTCAGCAAGAAAAGCAGTGGTAGAATTGTGGTGCATGTGAAAACCAGTCATTAGAACTATGAGGAACTTTAAATGACCAGGCATCATTTGGAAAAAGCAGTTCTATATTTCCTGTCAGTCTAGCTTCATCCTCTTCCCCTAACTCTACCAACACAAAATAAAATATACAGATAAAATTTTATTGTTGTTAAAGATGGAGGATTGAAAGTCAGGTGCGGTGGTACATGCCTGTAATCCTAGCACTTGGGAAACAGAGGCAGACGGATCGGGAAGGAGTTCAAGGCCAGCACGGGCTCTGTAAGACCCTATCTCAAAAAAAAAAAAAAAAAAAAAAAAAAAAGAAAGGATTGAATGTGTGCATTTTGAGTCTCTCCTCTCTCTAATCCTTACTAAAATGGCAATTTAGGGGGAAAGTCTATAAACTCAGGTGGAAATAGATCTGGAGACTAGAACAAGCAAATAAAACCTTTTGGAAACAAGAAAATAGAGGAGTGAGTAACTGTCTAGCAAAGTCAAAAAAGAACAGCTGAATGCTGGCAGAGGGAGAAGATGGAACTGTGCTGTCTGTGGTGACAGAGCCCCGTAAAGGTCCAGACTGGGATGTGGCAGGTATTTCTGAACTAAGACTGAGAATCAGAACTGAAAGCATGGGGAATGGTTTGATGAACTCAGCGATAACTAGATCCTAGATCCCCTACCACAGCAGAAAACTTTTCTCCGTAGAAAACAAACATAACAATAGAAAACAGAACCCAAATGACTCCACATTTGAAGACACTGGTGTTCATATTAAGACACTGAACAGAATACAGGAGGAAAATGAAATGTGAGCTGGCACTGGGTCTTAAGACCTTCAGCCCCATCTCAGCCTCTGAGCTGAAACAGCAGGGATTCATCGCCCAGGCCAAGGACCGTCAAATTCATCATTGGTGAAACAGACAGGCCAGAAAGAGACTGAGGCACTGATATCATAAGATTCTCTAGACTGGGGTCCTACTCAACAATGAGAAGGATGCTTCCTCAAGCTTCTTAGGGCTCATCTTAAAAATAAAGATCAGCCAAACCGGGGCCATGGTAGCTTGGTGGTAGAGTGACTGTCTAGACTTGCCAAGGCCCTGAGTTCAAATCCCAGTGATGCAAGAAGAAAAAAACAAATGAAGAAGTGAATATTTGAGAAATATCTCTCACATTGAAAACAGATTCCAAAACAAAAAGGAAAAGGAACACCAAGTTAATAATGTAGGAAGCAAATTAACACATTTTTAAAAAACACTGTGGTAGTAGTCAAAGAAAGATAAGATAAAATTTTGCATCAGTGAAACAAATCAGAATATTATTTAAAATGCAACCAAAGTTTAAGATTAATGTTGTAAACACGGAAATACATTAATGGAAATTTTTAATTATAGAAAAAGATTAAGGGATGGATATCTGGCATGGTGGCACACATCTGTCATCTCAGCACTCAGGAGACTGAGACAGGGGGATTCCTGTGACTTCAAGATCATTATAGTCTATATAATGAGTACCAGGCCAGCCTGGCTACAGAATAAGACCCTGTCTCAACTTCCTTTCCCTCCCTCAACCAGAATGAAAAAGGATTTGGGATAAAGTTGAGGCAATCTATCAAATAAAGAGCAGGAAGGGCAAAGAGTTGGAAAATAGGACAGAAAAGCGAATGGTAAGAGATGCTTAAAGACAGTGGTCCACCGCCCAACTAATAGGATTTAAGTAATGAGGAAATAAAGGAAATAGGAAACTCCGTCTACTACCAAAGAAATAATTTAACATTCCCCAAATTGAGAAGGATGATTTGTCAAGCTTAATTGGTAAATAGGCAAGGATATTTACAGATAAAATTTCTCTAAATTTTCCAAAATGAATGCGCAAAGGCTGATCAGTGGATAATCGATCGGGAATCAGAATGGCATAAAGCTTCCTGATCCAACTATGAAAGCTAGAACCAAGATGGTGTGGGTTTTATTTTTATAGGAAGAGGGTGTCTATCATAAAATCCAGACTTTTTTCAAGTGTAAGGGACGAATAAAAAACATCTCAAAAAAGAAAACAGAACAAAAAAGGAAAATTTTGCCACACAGGCATGCTTTCTCTTTCGCTTTTCTAAAACAGAAAAGGGAAGTCAGAAAATACAGAGTAAAAGAGCTCAGTGTGGCCAAGAGTGAGGGAGACAACCAGGATGAACAGAATGGAAAGTGCTGGAATAGCAAATGTATGGCTAGCCCGGAACAAGCTACTGGCTCTAGTTCTGGCTCCAGGAAGGAAGTGTTCAAGAAAAAAAAAAAAACTGTGAAGTACTCAGTTACTTGGTGGATTTAGCCACACTGAGGAAAGTGACACAGTTCTGTCAGAGAGTAAATAGAAAAATCAAGAGGAAATGAAAACATGTTAGTCCCAAAACAGAAGAAAAAAACCCTGCACAGTCATAACATTTGACTAACGCCACTGCATAGAATACTTACATAGTTATACAAATGCAAACCTGGAATATTGATTAATTTGAAAAATGTAATAACCATTGGAGAACAGGGATAGGAAGAAGTTCGAGTTAAAGTCTCTTCCATAGTAGGAAGTGAGTAGATTTCCTTCCAACATGAAAAACTGATGTGTGTCATCATAAGCAGAGTATTTAGGAAAATAGGTAAATATTAAAAGGTATATGCAGACCTGGAAGTGTGTGAGATGGAGCACAGGCTCCTGTTTTTCACACTATTAGCTTTGCTGTATGCCTTAGTTGTTTAGCCGTACAGTGTTCAATTGTATTGAGGAAAAAATGTTTTAAATATGTAGATTTAAACTTTGCTTTGTCTCGTGTCCTCTCATCTGAGGTATAAAGTAGGATCCTGCAGGAAGATCACCTCCTGGCCTGTCCAGCATGCCAGAATATTCCCAAGATCCACACTGTGCCAGGCACTGGGACCAGAAGGATAGATGGATTGAGGGCACACTATGAAAGTCAAACTATAGAGCTGATAGGGCCTGCAATGTGGGTGGGGACTTGGGGGAGAGAAGCAAGCAGTAAACTGGGTGGATGTAAAAGGAGAGGATTTATGAAGTCAAGAGTTTGGTTTTAGCCAAGATAAGTCAGAGATGCCTATTAAAATTCAAACAGTTCTGTCATCTTGAGGCTAGATCAGCCAAGCAAGATCAAGGTCAGCAAATTGATTCCTAAGTCTAAAATTCAGCAGACTTCAAGACTGAAAATAAAATTGGGATACATAAAGCAGACAAAATGAAGCAATGTGCATTTCCAATTCCACACAGCACTTAAGCTCCAGAAAAAAATATGATTCTGTACATAAGATTGGTTTTCTCATTAGGTACTAAAAATGGGCTCCAATATTAGCCCTGAGTTCTAATTGCCCTAATCTAACATGCAGTAAACCAGCACTTTCTTTCAACAGAAGCCTTCGAAGGTTCTCCTACCCTCCAAAGCTACTGTCCACTGAAAGTGTAAATCAGTAGGAAGTGATAGAGACTTGCTTTAGGAAGCCTATTCTCGGGCTCCACAGCCTACCGTTGTCCTCCGGGCTTTACGCAAGTAAGTCAGAAGGTCTCCTCCTTCCATCAGTTCCAGAATAATGTACTGGGGTTCATTCAGCAGACAGACTCCAAGCTGCTTCAGAATGTTGGGGTGATTAAACTTGCTGAAAGGTGAAAAGACACATGCTGGATGACATGACAGTGGCAGCAGAACCAGCCAAGGGTCTGTTTGGAATAAAGCGAGCCTTCATCCACAAGTGAAAGCTTCCTTTTCTAAGTACTGATCCTTGTGCTTGCCTTAAGGAAGTGACATGGCAACACCTAGTGGCCAAAGGTTATGAGTGCAGTAGAGCAGGTTTCAGAACAGTTTCTAATAAAGGGGATTTTAGGATTTGGGAAAGAAAGCAATTGTGACTAATAGCCTCCTTCAAAAGATACTTGAATACATGTCTGTGTCATGAAAATTATGACATACATCCTCTTTCTTGTAGGCAAACAACTCAGGCCTGCCAGTTTGGGCCTCGTTGGTTTCTGAGGACATCAGAGTAAGTAAGCCCCAGCCTAATTAGAGAATGCATGAACGGCACTGACTAGAACCTTGCATACACGCTTCCTAGACAAGAAACATTCTCCCTAACATCAGAGTATTTAAAAATGCTCTTCCCTGACTGGATTCCGTGGCCCATTGTCACACATTTAGAAGAACAGGAGTGTTTTAGAAGCAGAACAGCCTCAGAATTCATTTGCAGAGCACAGTGCTTACTGAAGAGAAAAGGAGGACCTTTGCCTGAGGACTGCATGTACTCAAGCCCAGAAGATTTGCTTCTATGAATACTAATGACTACACATATATTTCCTTTTAAACTTTCAGTCATATTTACTTTGAGCAAGAGCTCGCATATTGAGTCATTTGGAGTATTAAAATTCAACACACAGATATAAGCACTCTCTACCCCGATAGAGTCAGTCACTTCTGAACTATGACGATACCTCATCAGATGTGCCTCCTTCAGGAATTCAATCTTCTCTTGGTCTGTCGAGCCCTTCTTCAAAGTCTGTGAAAAGTAGAAACAAGTCAGAAATCAATGCAGCAGACATCTCCGGGGGTTCCGTGGTTAATGGAAACGTTTGGTTTGGTTTGGTTTGGTTTGGTTTTGCAATATATATATGATCTGTAAACCCTCTGTTGGGGGTTATATGGTCTATAAAACTCCCATTACTGTTATTATTCAACTAGGAAAATCTGCAAGAGAAGGGATTTAGTAATATATATATTATAAAATACATATATATTTATAGTTCCTCTGAAATACAGAAATTTTTAGGTGAGACTAATTTTAGTAAATAGGTTAGTATCCTTTCAAATTTTCTACTCTATTTATGTTTCTGCTTTACTTGAAATCAATACCTAGCTCATTTTTTGCAAGACTGTAACCCACTACGATAACTGAGGTAAGTCAATCACAAAAATTTGCTCTGAAATTCTCCAAACCCTTAAATAAGGGTGGTCACATGTCTCAGTTCTAGCCAACAAAACTCAAGGGAAAAACTGGTGAGGGAGAGAATGGTTTGTGGAAAACTTTTGCCTTCCTAAACATACACATGCAATACCATCCTACCTCCTCTCCCCGATTCTAACGAGAAGGTAATGCCTAATTATTAGCGCCCACATTGGGATTATGAGGCAACAAGCATGAACAAGATCAAGAGAATTTCAGAGATAGCAACTCTGGCCTGACGCAACTACAACTAGGCCAACAGTTGTCTCAGTGTGTGAGGAAAATAAATAAATAAATGTTTTTAATAGGTTGAGACCAGAGAAAGTTAATGGACTTTCATTTGCATCATTTGTAAATGGAAAGAATTTTACTATCTTAGATTGGCCAACTTTAAAGCAAAATTTCCTAACAAGCAGAGATCAAGATATTATTTAATCTTATGCCTCAATCATCACTCTATAAATGAAAATTTCACAAAACTATGAGAGCAGATGCAATGTTTCCTTAAAATGCATCCAACACAACATGAAAAGCAGCCACCTGGCAAACCTCAGTCAGTAAGACAAACCCAGGCTGTCACCTAGGAGTACAGCACACAGTCTGAAACCAGCCTTGACCTTTTTAAATGGTTGAAAAAAATCAAAAGGACAATATTATTTCATGATGAAATTCAAATTTCAATGTCCATGAGTATCGTCTTATTGGAACATAGACACACTCATTTTTTTTACATATTTATGACTGCAAGAGCAGAATTCAGTCATTGCAACAGAGATCACATGGCCAGAAAATCTACATATTTATCATCTGCTAGTTTGAGAAAGCATTTGTTGAGTCCTAGTCTAGTTTCTTCAGAATGTATTTTACAACTCAGTTCTCTTGATATTGTTGTTATTAGTCCTAAGATCAAGCCCAGGGCCTCCTAAGTAATAGGCAAACACTCTACCAACTGAGCTGTATCTCTAGTCCCTCTTTGAGCATTTTCAATAGGAAATAAAACTCTTTGTCAGGCCTTAGCTAATTAATAGCCTTAGAGGTAACATAAACCCTGTAGATTTTCTGTTGAGCTAAAAGCCTCTGTAAGAAATGGGGAAAAATACGTGTGGCTTCTGTAGCCACAGACAGGCTTCTGCATCCTGTCGCTCTTCTTTTTTGATGATCTTATTTGTTTATTATTTTTATTCTATGTGTGTGAGTGTATTGCTTGCATGTAAGTAGGTACACCCATGTCGTGCAATGCCCTTGGAGGTCAGAAGAGGGCATCAGATTCTTTGGAACTGGAGTTAGCCACCATGTCGGTGCTGGGAATTGAACCCGGGTCCTCTGCAAGAGCAGGCAGGCTCTTAACCATTGAGCTCTCCAGCCCTGATTATCTTATTTTTAATTGACATAATATTTGTACATAGTCATGATAGATGTGATGTTTTGATTCATGTATAGATTGGGTAATGGTCAAATCAAGGATATTAGCACATCTATCACCTTAAAGTTTTATCATTTATTAGTAAGTAGACTAAACTGCTCTACTTTGAAACATGCAGTACATATTGTTACCTGCACTATTAGGCCTATTTTCAACTAATAGCACTAAATTTATTTATTTAATTATTTATTTATTTATTTTTGGTCTTTTTGAGACAGGGTCTCCCTGTAGCCCCAGCTGTCCTGGAACTCACTATGTAGACCAGGCTGGCCTCGAACTCACAGAGATCCGCCTGCCTCTGCCTCCTGAGTGCTGGGATTAAAGGCGTGCACCACCACGCCCAGCTTTAGCACTGAATTTTTTTTATTACAGTCATGTCCATGAGTTCAGAGTTCCACATTACCTTCACTGCAACTTTGATTTCTCCACTTCCAACTCCTAAGATGTCTATGGCTGTGCCTTCATAGACTTCTCCAAAAGCGCCACTTCCCAACAAGAGACGCAGAGTCAGCTTTTCCCGGGGGAAGGAAGGAAGATTTTCAATCTCCTCTTGGGTTGGAAGAGAACTATAAAATAACAATATGGGGTTTAGAAGTTTATATTAGCGAGAAATCGAGTTATCTCAGGATTTGGCAGATTGAGCATTCTAATATGATAATGTGAATTTGTGTTCCTATGCTTTCCTACACCATCAGCTTTTTTTTTTTTTTTAATGTATATGAGTGTATTGCCTGCATGTGGGTAAATGCACCTGAGTCATGCAATGCCCATGAAGGTCAGGAGAGGACTGGAGTTATGGATGGTTGTTAGCCTCCATGTGGGTGCTGGGAATCACACCCAGATCCTCTGCTCTTAACGACTGAGCCATCTCTTCAGCCTGGCTCCACCGGCTTTTACACAGACAATGCATGTCACCTCATTTCTGGACACTCTTGTTTCTTCAGACACATGAATGTGAGTATGCTGCACTGGGGTTTTTATTGCAGTTAGTGCTACAAATGAGAGCTGTCTCCATAGATAAAAGCAGTGGCTCTTGCAGGTTCAGTTTCCAGCACACAGCTGATAGTTCACAATTATCCTTAACTCTAGTTCTATGGGATTTGACACCCTCTACTGGCCTCTATGGGCACTGCACGATATGGGTGTACTTACAATCAAAACACAAAATTAAAATTAATAAATAAGTGAATAGAATTAAAATGAGTAGTTATTAAATTTTCCATGTTGCACTTTTATATAAAAAGCTACTGTAAATTAGCAGCAGGTACATCTGGACTGTGAACTTACCTTTGATTTCTCTCATATACAGGCTGTCATGCAAAACAGAATTTACTGTGACCACAAAAGTCAAGTCAGTCACCACCAAGTTAACTTCCCAAAACATCAATTTTTGCCTTGGAAATACTGTATTCTTGGTAGAAGCCTCTAGATTAAGAATGTTTTGAGTTTTTATAATATTTTTACATTTTTATTTATTTTTATTTATGTATCATTATCCCTGCTTGTCTGTCTGTATGTGCACCATGTGCACGCAGAAGAGGGTATGTTACATTCCACAGAACTGGAGTTACAGGCAGTTGTGAGCCACCTGGTATGGGTGCTTAGAACTGAATTTGGGTCCTCCACAAGAGCAGTAAGGGCTCTTAACTGCTGAGCCACCTCTCTAGCCCCTGCTTTGAGATTTTAAGAGAGAATCTTAAATCCCAAATATACTGAGAGAGAGAGAGAGAGAGAGAGAGAGAGAGAGAGAATCTTCTGGAGTTGATTTAGTTCATTTCTGTATCTAGTTTAAATCCTTTCATAAATTTCAAGAAACAAGGCCTATGATCATATAATTCTTTTTTTCAGATACCATAATATGGTGTCTTATGCAAAGAAATTCTTATTTTTCTTAATAATAATGATAACGAAAGTTTGACCCATTTGTCTTAAGGAGACATTGTCGGCAATCATTACACAACTTCGATGGAATCAGATAGGCAAGACCTTTAGAATTTTCTCCCTTCTCAAACACTATGTCCTGTTGAATCAACTATATTACGTGCCATCTGCTCCCTTTAATATAATACTTTTCTCCTTCCTGTAATTGTTTTTTAACCACATGATTTAAACACTGAAAGACAGTGGATTTTCCTGCATTTCTCTTGTATGGTAACCACACAATTTGCCATTTGTCCCTGGCCACATTTGAGACTAGAAGAGAACGTTACTGACAACGTTGCCAGAGGTCTCTGGGACATGAAGCACCCATGGAGACTCTTATACTCTCCCCATGCTTTACCCGTGTGATCCAATAAGATGACCCACATACGTACTGTACGGCATAGCAGGCGTTGGCCAGTCCCACTCCAGCTGGCAGACCTCGGAGCTCAGTCAGCTCTTTATCGTCGTTGATGAGAACTGAGAGCCCTTCTTTAGAAGCTTTCTGACTTTTTAATCTTCTGTGCCAGACTATGAAGATACAATTTACTAAGTAAAATAATGCTTATTTTTCCCTTTAAGAAATGTTAGCATATTTTTTTTTTTTGTCTTTTTGAGACAGGGTCTCCCTGTAGCCCCAGCTGTCCTGGAACTCACTATGTAGACCAGGCTGGCCTTGCATATTTTAAATACACACACACACATACATATGAGCACTGTTGACAAAATAAGAGCTTGATGAAAAAATGTCTATAATAGGAAAACTTTTAAAGATTAATTCCAAAAACATTAAGTCCAGATAAAATGCCATATAAAAACTGCACAATCCATACACTTCCCCTTTTAATATTTTTTAAATATTTTATTTATTATTTTTATTTATGTATGTGAGTGCATCATCAGAAGAGGGCTTCGGATTCCCCTGGAACTGGAGTTAAAGACAGTTCATAGCTGCCATGTGGGTGCTGGGAATCAAACCCGGGTCCTCTGCAAGAGTAGTCAGTGCTCTTAACCTCTGAGCCATCTCTCCAGCACCACAGTTCCCTTTTTATCTCACTTTTCAGAGTAAAGTTTAATATGTTTCTTACTATTACTACAAATAAGTTTATGAAATATCTTATTAGAACTTATTTCTCAAAATTACTTATAAACTAGATCCAAACTAAGTTTTAAAAAATGGTTGCATAATAACCATTAATAAAACAAGTCACCTGTGTCCAGACATTTCCATCTTATACTAAGTAGACCTGAAGGAATGCTTTCAAAACAATGGCACATTTTAAATGTTTTCAGTGTGGCCAGGAGTGGTGGCACATGCCTTTTAATCCCAGCACCGGGGAGAGCGGGGCGGGGGGTTGCAGAGGCAGGCAGATCTCTGTGAGATTGAGACCAGCCTGTTCCACAATGAGTTCCAGGCCAGCTAAGGCTGCAAGGGCACTCAAAAACAATAAAGAATTAATGCTTTCAATATGATCATTTCTCAGCCTTTTGGTTAAGATCAGGTGAAAAATGTTTTCAATATAATTCATAGGGTACAAGTGTATAATCAGGGCTGGCGAGATGGTTCACTTGATCAAGTGCTTGCTGCATAAGCATGAGGACCCAAGGTTAGATCCCAGCACCCAGGTACAGCAGCAAATATCTGTAACCTCAGTACTGGAGGTGGAGGTTAGAGATAGCCAGATCCTGGGTCCTTGCTGCCCAGTCAAACTAGCTGAATAGATAAGCTCTAGGTTCAGTGACAGACAGTGACAAAAAATAGTATAATAGAGAAAAGCATCTGATGTCAGCCTCTGGTCTTACACGTACACACACAGATGAGCATGCCCCCCCCACACACACATGCACACCCATGAATATACCCTTATAGCTGTGCCATAGTTACAGTCTATGGATCCACAGGTTAAAATCTTAAAAGCTGAAGTTTTTAGCTTCCCTGGTTAGCTGAAGGAGCTTCATATACTATCTATGTGGACCCTTTGAAATCTCAGTTCAGGTTCAAAGTGTTCTCTGATACCATTTAATTCCAAAACACAGATACACACACACAGGAGTGTATATCCATTGTCCATATACATATGTAGAAAAGTTACCATAATAAAGCCTACATTGATTCCTCCTCCTTGTAGATTCGTAAGTGATTTCTATTGTCTTTTTCATATCATACTCAGATAGCTTTTGTAATGGTAGAAAATCTTTGATAAAAATTAAAATACAACTATATCAGTATGATCACATATTTGTATTATATATTGGTTCATAAGTCAAAATCAGCAAAAATGTTGAGTAATGGCTATCAAAATTTGCATGGTGATCCACAACTGTAATTCCAACACTTGGGAGGCTAGGCAAGAGGATTATGAATTCCATACCAGCCTGCTCTACACAGCAAGGGTCTGTCAAAAAAAAGAAAAAAAGAAAAAGAAAAAAATTTTAAAGTTAACCTTATTTCATAGTACCTTGCATATCTGACATTCGAGTTTTATTCAAGTGAAATTCCATCTGGTAGACCATAGGGGAAAAGGTTTCCCATGCCTTTACCAATGCAGTTTCCAAGTCTCAAGTGCTCATCTCTACATCCTCAGTGACACCACCTGATACCTTTGCAGACTCTATTGATCGCTCATCTACAACCCTAAAAGCCAACTGTGGCTGTCAGTCCTCTTCCTGTGTGCTGTCCTTTACATCCATGTCACGTAACACATATCTTGCTGGATATGTTTTCATACAGGTATATATGTCTTACCTCTCTTATTAAAGGACAGGCTATTTTACAGCTTCTTAGTTCTCTCTACTCTGGGCATGAGGTTCCTGTAGCATATTAGATATGATCACTCATCAGCCCAAAGGCTGTCAGTGCTTATTTTTAAACCTTTGTTTTAGTTTTACAAGTATGGCTGTTGAGAACTCAGCACAATGCAGATTTTAAAGAATCGTGGGGCTGAAGAGATGGCTAAGGAGTTAAGAGCACTGACTGTTCTTGCAGAGGACCAGGGTTCAATTCCCAGCACCCACATGGTGGCTAACAACCATCAATAACTCTAGTTCCAGGGTATCCAACACATTCTTCTGACCTCTTGGGTATTGCACGACATGGGTGCACTTATACACATGCAGGCAATACATTCATACACATAAAATAAAATAATAAATAATTTTTTAAAAAGGAATTGCTACTTCTAATTATTTTAGTAACTCAGTCTTCTCTCATTGCACTCACACATGCCTACTTGTAAAACCATGTGCACTACTAATAAAAGAAAAAATTGAATTAGCTTAGCCACACTCAAAAATCCATGAGTTCTGAACAGAATAAAGACCATTAAGTCTTGAGAAAATTAGATATCCATAAGATGTCTTAAAAGCACATAAAAGATTGTTCAAAATAATCTCATTTTCATCCACTAGAGTCACGGATTTAAACAATGGTGATGTAGAAAAGCAAAGGTCAGATGAAGGTTTCCTTGTGGAACACTCCTTCCCAGCAGGAAAGCAAACAAGCAGTCAGGCCTGTATGCCAACTGCCAAATATACTGCAGTCATATGTGTGATTCTGGAGGAGCTGGCTTAGCGGCACAAACATCAGCTGTGCAATAGTTAGACTCTCTGGAAGCACAGGTTAAAATCCTAGCAGGGTCAGCTGAAGTTTTTAGATTTCCCAGTTAACTGAAGGAGTTCCACATATTATCTGGATGGAATCTGAAAGGATTAGCTTGATTTTTCCAGAAAGAATTCAACCTCATGCCTGGTAACTTTTCCTTTGTCCTCCTTTTGTGACTTTCTATTATTTAGCACCATAAGCTAGAGCTTCCTGAATATGTGCTGGAATGGCTTATAAAGTCACGAGTCAGGGACTCTTAAAATCAGCAACAGATAGAAAGCTCAAACCAAGTCACTTGGAGAACTGAAAGAATATGCTATTAACATTTATGACGAAACAACAAGAGTCACTGTGATTACCTGACAGGCCCAGTATCACACCACCTCTAGGTTGTCAGGATATTTTCTCTTCAATAAAATATTAAAAGTGGAGTGGAGTTTTTGTGCTTTTTTTAAGGGGAAAATGCACATCAGTTATATTTTAATTTAAAATATGAATATGACAAAAACATATTTATTATATAACACATTTTAAGACTGAAATTAACTTGGTTATACAATACTTTCCTGATTTTTTTTATCTTATATATCCTGTCTATGGAGGCTGACAACCACCATCCCTTTACTTCAATTCCAAAATCTAAGACTGAGAAGCAAGTTTTTCATTACTCATGTGGTTGCAAAACCTGACCTCCCGTAGTCACCCTCAAGGACATGAAGGGCTTGGTCGGCCACCCGGCAGTCCACACGGGGTATGCTCCAGCCAACCGCTCCACGAACTGCCACAGGCCAGACCCTCCTCAATGTGCCTTGGTCCCAGCCGCTGGGAGTGGAGTTTTTAGGACTAGCATAGTAACATAAAATAAGTCATGGAAAATAGCTACCTGACCTAATTCTGCTATTTCCTGGTCATTTGTAAATGAGCAGGGATTTGGAATAAGCCTGTCTGTCAGATGTCAGACATCAAGAGTGAGTCCCACAGGCCAGAAATAGATCTCCTGTGAAAGGGGCCCTCCTCATTCCTAACTGAGCTGTCTGCCTGGGGACCAAAACTACCCAAACCAGCCGCTGTCACTGGCCTCCCATTAATCCTATACTGTTTCTGTACCCAGAACTATTTCTCTTTTATTTATTTCAATGTACTCTATAAGCTACAGAACACTTGCAACAGCCAATCAGAAACAAGTGCTATATTAAAGAAAGCTAAAAGAGTGCCTTTGCAAACAGTTGTATCTAAAGTATACTATAAAATGTATACTGGTATATTTCCCATGTTACTTCATGTTCCCAAGTTACTCCTTGATATACTTTGTGTTCAGAATATTCCTCCAATGTGCTTGTGTTAAAGCCTCAGTCCCCAGGTTAACATATTATGATGTAAAGGTAGGACCTAGTGGAAGTCTTGATACTGAGGACATGCTCTTGAAGAGGATAGTGGGGTACCAGTTCCTTCCTAGTGGGGTGCCAGTTCCTTCTTCTATTTCTTCTGCTCCCAGCTGTGAGGAGAGGCATTGCTACATCACAGTCCTGCTGTGATGTACTGCCACACACCCAAAGCAACAGGGCTACTTGATCACGAACCAAAACTGAGCCGAATTAAACCTTCACAATGACAAGAAACTAACACATCCCTTTATCAAGAAAAACATTCACAGAAGTGAGTGGCTATAAAAGAGAAGCCAAGGGCAACACTGTGAAGTTTACGAACATATTTCATCAGGTCATATTTCACATAGGAGATGAGATAAACGAGAGATCAATCAAGCGGTATCATTTGATAAACAGTTTATTACCTATTTGCAGTCTGTGATACTTACCAAAGGTCAATGGGATTGTAACAACCAGAAATACTCCAATTATGATAGTAAGTATAATTGTTTCTGGTATCCAAAAGCCATCTAAGGATATAAAGGAAAAAAATAAATTAATTCACAAAATTAATTGTTCCAATTCTGCCCAAGTACAGACAGTACTTGGCCCGAGCTCCTTCTTACTGGATTTTTTCCAGCCAGTTGTTCAGCAGTTGGCAGTTTGAAGTCAACCACGGTGAAAGTGTGTGCATCATGGAAAATCAAAATCTAAATTGTTGCTTTCCTTTTTTTTAGAAAGCTATTTTACCCACTTATTGAAACTCATCCAATCTCCCAGTTTAAAGTGAATAGGAAAGCATGTACCATCTTTTTAAGGAGTTTAGGACAAAGAAGTCTTTGTCTTCATATATTAAACAGCATTATTTTCCATTATATCTCATATCCATTTAATTCCATAGACCAAGGAGGAATAGCAACATGAAAACACAGTGCAGTCTGTTAATTAATCTGTTTATAGAAGAAACAAGCAGACAGACAAGAGCTTAGCAAACTATGACATGTGGGACAAACCTAAATGAAGATTATTTTTTTGACCTTTAAAAATATTTTTAATTTATTTAATTTATTTTACATGTATAAATGTTTTCCTGCATGTATGTAAGTGTACCACATGTGTGCAATGCATACAGTGGCCCAGAAAAGGGCATCAGATCCCCTGGAATTGGAGTTCCAGACATTGTTAACTTCCACGTGGGTGCTGAGAACCAAACCCAAATCTTCTGCAAGAGCAGCCAGTACTCAACCACTGAGCCATTTCTCCAGGCCCTAGATTTTAAAGTATTTAGGTCAATCAGATTCCAAGGGATGGACTCACCCAAGAGCATTTGGAGAACATAATACTATTTTTTTTTAAAAGAAAAGAAAAATAGGCTAGGCATGGTGGTGGCACAAACCTTTAATCCCAGCACTTGGGAGGCAGAGGCAGGTGGATCTCAAGGCCAGCCTGGTCTACATAGTGAGTTCCAGGACAGCTGGGGCTACAGGGAGACCCTGTCTCAAAAAAGGCCAAAAAAGAAAGAAAGAAAGAAAAGGAGAGAGAGAGAAATAAAAATAAAAAATAAAATGAATAATAAAGACATGAAGTCTGGGAGAGGGTAAGTAGGGTGGAGATAGGGGAAAGAGTCTGACTATGATCAAAATGCATTGTATGAAATTCTCAAAAAATCAGTAAAAACATTTTTTAAAAAGAAGGAGGAGGAAGAAGAGGAGAAGGAGGAGGAGGAGAAAAAGGAGGAGAAGGAAGAGGAGGGGGAGGAGGACATGGAAGCTTGCAGAGAGCAGATGTAGCTGCAAAGCCAAAAATATTTGCTATTTGGCTCTTTTCAGAAAATATCTAGCCAAGTTATTGATAATTAACTGTAATATAAATAATAGTTATTAAAGGTTTGTTCTTTTAATTTTTTAATGGTGTTTCTTATGTTGTATGTGTGCATGTGTGTATATGTGAGGAGGTCAGAAGACAACTTGCAAGAATTCGTTCTCTCCTTCTACCAAGTGGCTCCCAAGGCTCTAACTCAGATCATCAGGCTTGGCAGCAAGTGCCTTTACCAACTGAGCCATTGCTGGCCTAGAATAATTGAAATTTTATGTGAAATATGTGTATAGAATGCAAATAATTCATTTTGCCCAAGATGCATCAGTTAAGTATCATGATGGGTTCCTTTTTGTTAGGTTTCAAAGGCAAGGCTACTCAGTGGGACAGGCAAAGAGAGCAACTGGGATGAATATGAACAAAATACGTTACATACAAGTGTGAAGTGCCATAATGAGACCACTAACTATAATTAATAATGCCAATAAAAAGTCAAAGAGGAAATAAGTGAGATTAAACTTCCCACAAGTGCTGGAGACATAGTTAAGTGATAGAATATTTGCTGTGTATGTGCAAGGCCTAGGTTTTGATCTTTACAGCAACACACACACACACACACACACACCCCACATGCATGCACACGTGCACACATACATCCCACCAACCAGATGAGATCAGAGCACATAATTGGAGTTTACTTTCATTTCATAAGTGTGGTACTTCCTACACACATGAATTCATAAACAGTCATTACTGTAATTACTACAGTTGAAGTATGAAAAACTAAGAGGTAAAATGAAGACAATAAGAAATCAAAGACAAAATTTCTAGCAATATTATACAGGAATAAAGATCAAGACTCAATCTACTCAGAAAAAAATGAAAATAATTTCAATGGCAGAAAAGAAATCCCAGGTGAGGGACACAGGGCAGATGGTGCAGGCTGCTCTTCTAGATTGAAGGAAACACCAAAAGACCAAAGACCTAATGACAAAAGCTATATCACAGGAATAAAACTTGGGAAAAGGTGAACTGGAAACAGGTCATGGGAGGCTTCACATGCCACATTGAGGGCAGTGAATGAAGAGCTGATTCGTGTCTCTCAAAAATGGGCCAAGAGGTCCAGCTTGCACTTCAGCTAAATTAAACGCTAAGTGTGGTTAAGCCATGAGATAGACATGAAAGGAAACTTAAACAAAGAAAGCCAGTGTGGAATTAGGAAGCTGGGAACTTACCAGTTAGAAACTGAGATGCTAAAATCAATTGAACTTGGTTGATTATGTAGAGAGATAAATCAAACATGGCATTGAGGTTTCCAGTTTAGGGGATTAGAAAGATAATGAATGCATCAGGGGCTGGAGAGATGCCTCAGTGGTTAAGAGCACTGGCTCTTAACCTCTTGCAGAGGACTGGGGTTCGATTCTTAGCACCTACATGGCAGCTAACAATTAGGGGACTTGGACACCCTCTTCTCGCTTCCACTGGTATTGCACAACACAGGTGTACTTGCATACATGGAGGCAATACACTCATACACATTAAAAATAAAATACTAAAAAAGAAAGATAATGCATTATAATCCAAATAAGATACAGCATGGATGAGGTAGATGGGAAAGAACATACAGAGTAGTTGGAAGTCTCTTGTACATGAGACAGTACCAGGAATCAACACTCAGGATGAATAAAGGCCAGTTTATAGACAGTCTTGGAAGTCTGGATAGGAGCGTGGAACTTGTGTGGTAGGTATTAGGAATGGCTGGTTATTATTAAGGAGAAAAGTAGTAGAATGAGAATGATGTTTTAGGAAGAACACACCAGATTAACTGAAACATTCAATAGTTTGCATAATGAGCTATTCAGCCACCTTATCTACTGCTAAAGTTAAGGAGATAAATATCCTTTATCATTGAACCTTTATGCATGTAACAAGCTGATGTGTAGACAGATATGGTCACATACCTTCCAATAGTACAACATTCTCACTGATCCCACTGTATTCACCAAAACCAATAGTATTTGCAGCTACTACTCTGAACTGAAATGTTCCTTTCAGATTTTTGGACTTCCATGTGCAAATGCTGCCGCAGGACCCATTAAACGCCATCTTCCACTTTAAACCCTGGTTCTGTGAATCATTTGAAATGCCCTTTCTGCAAAAGAAACAGATTAGTACATACTTTAAGTACATGTAACAATGCAGTGTTATTTCTAGTTGCTCATATAGCACACCAGTGGCAGAGTTCTAGAGCCTCTTTTGCACACTTTACCCTTGATCTCACTTCTGCCGCAATTTGCAGAATCACAGCATAGTTCTAAAGAGTCATCCTAGTGATGGGTGAGCAAACTGTGGTGGTTTGAATAAGAATGTCCCCCATAGGTTCCAAATATTTGAACAGTTTGCCTCCAGTTGGTGGCACTGTTTGGGGAGGCTTTAAGAAATGTGGCCATGCTGGAGAAAGCACTGGAAGCTGGCTTGTGGGATTTCCTGTTTCGCTCTGCTTCTTGTCCCTGCTCAAAGATGTGCTTTCTCCACTTTCTGCTTCGGCCACCTCTGGCCTCCATGCCTTGTCATTAGGGACCCTCTCCTGGAATCGTAAGCCAAATAAATTCTTCCTCCTTGTCATGGTTTGATTCTTCATTGCTGTGACAAAATACTCTGACCAATACCAACTTGGGGAGGAAAGGGTTTATTTGTCTTACATCTCCCAGGTCGCATGCAGTTCATCAGGGAGCCCAAGGTAGGAACTCAGGGCAGGAACCTGGAGACAGGAGCTGGAGCACAGGCCATGGAGGAACGCTGCTTACAGGCTTGCTCCCTTGGCCCCTGCTCAGCCTGCTTTCTTATGCAACACAGGCCCACCTGCCCAGGGGTGGCACCACCCACAATGGGCTGGGCTCCCACATCACTCATCAAGAAGATGCCCTTCAGACATGGCCACAGGCCAGTCCAATAGAGGAAATTCCCCAATTGAGGCTCCCTCAACCCAGGTGTGTCCAAGTTGACACTAAAGCTATCCAGCACACTCCTATAAGTTACCCTGGTCATGGTGTCTTACCACAGCAGCGGAAAAGAAACTAATATACCAACCAACTCAGTCCATCCAAAAGATAAAGAATAATCAATGGCTGAGGGCAAGCTGGTGACACTTTTTACACTGTTTAAAATGCAGGAAATTACTTCTTAATTTCAAACACATAATTACTTCACATTTTTTACCTGGCAAGTTTACATTTTTCCTTTTTAAGCTGTTCTTTTGAATGTGTATGTGTGAGTGTGTGTGGCCTATGTGTATGGTATATATGTACATGTGTGTAAGTATACATACCCATACACATGATGCAGAGGCCACAGGAAGACATTGAGTGTCCTGTTCTAGCACTCTCTCTGCTTTACTCACAAGGTCTCTCTCACTGAGCTTAGCGTTTGGCTGGCAGCCAGCAAGCCACAGAGATCCTCCTGTCTCTATCCCCACAGCACTGTGGTTACAAGAATACAGACGGTCATGCCTGGCTTTTTATGTGGATGCTGAGGATTTGAACATAGGGACTCATGCTTGTACAGCAGCTGCTTCTACCCACTGAGCCATCTCCCAAATCCTTTTGTTTGTCTGATTGGTAAACTGGGTTTTTGAGATCGGGCTATGCTATATAGCCAGGACAGCCTCAAATACATGATCCTCCTACCGTGTCTCCTGACTTCCAGGATTACAGACATGAACTACATGTCCAGCTTATATTCTTCTTAATTTTCCAGAATCTTGTGCCATTTTTAACTTACTTGTTTCATGTATGGACAAAATACAAATCTTAAATTTGAAAGTAAGATAATGCATAAACAGTTCAGCCACCAAAGTTATTATTTATGAGTTCTAAGACTCATTGCTTCCTTTTCTATTGGCCTATGTTCTACCTCAAGCCATTCCACATTGTCCATCATATGAAATGTGAAAGGAGCACAAGATCTGAATTCAAAGCATGAAACTGGAATGACTTTTTACAATACCACTGACTAAAGTCAAGTTCAAGATCTTCTCTGACAAGGAAGAGCAGTGTGGGTCTGAAACTTCTCAAATTACAACAGTTTTAGGACTTTGTATCAAGCCACTGTAAGCTCAGGAGTAGAGAGTAGAAATTATCTGTGATCCTGCTAATTAAGCGGCTGTCCTGGAAAAACAACCAGATTGTGAAGGTGGAGGCTCAGAAGTACAGGGTACGGGAAACAGAAGAGCATCAGAGCAGCAACGACAGTCAGAACTCTCCCTAGGAGCAACACGTCCTCGGAACTAACGAGTAAATCACCGTGACATTCTGCTTTTATATGTTTTATGAAGTCTCAGGTGTTGATAATTTCATTATTTAATCAGGTGACTTAGATCAGAAAAAAAAGTCCCTAGAAATGAGTGGTGTGGCTCTCCACACCTATTGAAGGACAAAAAATGATGAAAACCTCTCACATTAGTTGAGTACCTTCTGTTTACAATACACCATAGTGGAGTTTTGCCATGTTTCGTTTCCTTGAGTTTTCACAGCCCAAAGACAGAGACATCATTATTCTCATTTCATAGGCAGGAAAACTTAAGTTTCAGGGAAAAAAAAATCAGTAAGGGTTTAAACATGGTTGGTTACTGAACTAAATAACATCTCCCCTAAATCCATACCTGCTCAAACTGTGAATGTGATCTTGATTGGAAATAAGGTCTTGACATGTCAAGTTAAGATGAAAATATACTAGATTAGAGTGGACCCCAGTTCAATGGCTAGTGCCCTTTTAGAAAAGGGAAATATGGACCCAGAAACTCACAGACAAGATCATGTGATGTTGGAGAAGAGATTGGAGTAAAACACCAAGTCAAACAATTCCAAAGGTTTCAGTCCACTACAAGAAGCTAAGACAAGGCAAGAAAAGTCTTCCCTAGAACTCAAAAGGAATCATGGTCCTCCTTGACACCCTGATGTCAGTCCTCCAGTCACCAGAACTATAAGAGGGAATTTCTATGGCTTTGAGCTACTGAGTTGGTGCACTTTGTTAAAGACAGTTCCAGGAAGCTAACTGAGCCTGTTCAGCTTCCCAAGTTCACAGACTTTCCACTGCCTCTGCACCATCAGCAAGAACACAGCGTCATCACCGGGTGTGGTGATAACGGCCTGTAATCCCATCACTTGGAGGGCTGAAGCAGTAGAATCAGGAGTTCAGTGTCATCCTTGGCTATGTGAAGGGCTCATGGCTAGCCAGAGCTACATGAGACCCTGTCTCAAAAAAACTTAAAATAAAAAAGAAGGCCTTAAGATGTAGCTCAGTGGGCTGAAGTGATGGCTTAGTGGTTAAGAGCACTTGCTGTTCCTGCTAAAGACCTGGGTTCAGTTCCCAACACCCACATGGCAGCTAACAACTACCAGTAACTTCAGTTGCAGAGGCTCTAACACCTTCTTCTGGATTCTGTAGGCATTACACGACATGGATGCATTTATATACCTGCAGGCAAAATATTCATACACAAAATAAAAATAAATAAATCAAAGATGTAGTTTAGGTGGTAGAATCCTTGCCTAAGATACATAAAGCCCTGAATTTGATCTCCAGCACCACGTGAATCAGGTAGAGTGGCACACGCCTGTAATCCCAATAGTTGGGAAGTACAGGCAGAAAAATCATAAGTTCAAGGTCATCCTCCACTACATAGCATGTTCAAGACTAGCTGGGATACATGAGACCTCCTCAGCTCTAAAAAAAAAAAAAAAAAAAAGCTGAAAAAAAAGAAAAAAGATCACAGAGACAAGCTGGGCTGGGGCTTAGTGGCATAGGCTTGTAATCCCCACTACCCTGAAATCCAAGATGGGAAGATCACAAGTTCAAATCCTGCCTGAGCTACAGAGTAAGTTCAAGGCCAATCTGGACAACTTAGTAAGTACTGATTTCAAAATGTAAAAAGATGGTTGGTCATATAGCTCAGTGGTAGAGTTCTTGCTTGTTCTAGGCCCGAAGCCCGAGGTTCAATCCCTAAGACTAGGAAAAGCAAAGCAAAAAAAGAGCTCAGACTCTAACTAGAATGTCCTCACTCAAGAGTTCACTTAAGACTTCATTTGCCATCTACAGTGTTGATATTATAGTATCAATAGTGGAGACCAAGGACAAAGGTATGCAAACTATTTACATGAAATTCTACATTCAAGGTCACATTAAAGGGGTCCTAGCAAGAACCATGCTGTGGCCTAGCTGCTGAACACACCGTTACAGTCATAGGTCACCAAGATAGTTTTATTAAGTAGAAGATGTTTTACTATGCATGAAAAATAGTAACAAAAAAATTCACAAAGATTTCAATCAGAAATATAGGCAAAGGAATTTTCTAACATGAGCAAAATATTTTTTAAGGTTCTGAGACTGCCAGAGAAAGATGAAGCAAAAATAGATCTAAAGCTCAAGTTGCCAGGACTATAATTATGGAAGTGACTTTTGTCCTTGGAGCTACTTAAAAGATGGCTTCATAGTCCCGTGAGGGGAGTGTCTTTGGAATTTGGAATTCTTCCCTCAAGCTGGCATGAAGTCAGTCCTTCAAGCCAGTTATGGTTCACTGAGCTCCCCACACTGGCCATATCTGAAGGTGCATGTGCTTATTAGCTGCTGGTTTTCATCGACAGCACATTCTCAGTTGTTTGGGACACACTGCAAACTATTACCCTCACAACACACAGAAAAAGCCACATGGCCTATTTGACTCCACGTCATTTCAGCCCTGTGCCTAATTTTACATTCTGAAAAATATTGAGCTTTTTGCCACTTCTCACCCAACTATTCAACTTTGCTAAAATGAATTATCAGGAATTTACATGCATCCTGTTTGACATCAAACATCAGCCCAGCTTCCCAAGCAGACATTAAGCATATATTCGTTGCATGAAGCATGTTGAATGATTTCTCTGAAGATTTCATGAGTTGTTGCAGATTTCTGAGAATGATGTGTGCTTTATACAGTACCAAGACTGACCTTTAGGAATTGAACAAAGAACATAATAAAGCAGACAAAAATCCTTAAAGATTCTGTTTCTATTAAATGTATTTTTACAAATGTTGCTACATTAGATGACCTTATAATTAACTACTTAGCTCTTTGTTGTGTATGAAACATTTTTGGAAACATACCTGATCTCAAGGATATAGTACATCAGTCTACTTCCATTATCTTCAGCTTTTTCCCACTGGATTGAATTTTTACTCCCTTCTAATAGTTCAGGAATGCCTGGTTTACTCGGTACTCCAGCTTTGGGGGAAAAGGAAAGAATTGATTGAATGTCAGAAGTATTCAACATTTTACGTAGGAGTTTTCTCTGGATATTCTGATAGACGTGCATGGTATGTGTGTTTGTGTGTGTGTGAATACACGTGTAGGAGCACATGGCCATGTATGACTGTGCATGTATTTTCACACATGTGGAAGCCAGAAACCAACTTCAGGCTTTGTTGCAGCTTGCTTTTTTGAGACAGAGTCTCCCACTGGTCTGGGGCTCATGCATTAGGCGAGGCTGGCTAGTCAGCAAGCCCCAGGGATCCACCTGTCTCTTCCTCTATGGTGCTCAGACAGCAAATGTGCCACCACAACCAGCTTTTTTACCTGAGCTCTGGGGGTTGAACTCAGGTCCCCATTTTAGAACAGCAAGCACTTTATGGACTAAGGCATCTCCCCAGCCAGAAGTACATATTTTAAGTGAATATCTGCAACTTTTATTAGTGATGGATTAGGTAGATTAATGATGAGATTAATCATATATCTCAGTGTGACACAAAATAAGCGATAAATACAAATAAAACTATCAAAAACTTTTGGAGCATTTTGCCCTCTGCTCTTACAGGGATCAACTTCAAGTTACAGTTTACCTTTCAGAGTGCTAATTAACTAAACAGACTTGCAAAGCTTTTGTTCTTTTTTGTTTTTCATTTTTGGCATCTCAACTACAGAACTCATTTTGCAAGTTTTCTTGTGCACTCGGTTACCTTATCTATACGCAGTTCTCTCTCCAAACAGAATATGGCTGGAGCATCAGAATTCTGAAAGGAGAAATAATGTTGCTCACCTAGCTCAGGCTCCACAAGCCCAGGCCAGCATGAGCCTGTTCCTGCCTATAAAGACTTCTGACTCCTCAATTTCTTTAATTAAAATAGTAATGATTCTCTTCTAAGAACACATTTGAGCTTCTAGGATTGGTGAAATTGGGAGTTGAAGAAAGACTGGAGATTCTTATATCATGCAGAGCAGAAAGTATGCTGACTCTCACCTCTGGTCCTGAAGCTTTCTGGACTGGAGGAGCTGTTTTCTCCTGTCACATAGACCACCACTACACGAACATTATAAGAAGTAGAAGGCTGTAGATCTGTGATGTTGCAAACATAAGCTGGGCCTTGGCTGCATGAAGCTTTGATGCAGTAAAACTCATTGTATTTCCACTAGACAAAAAATATAAGATTTTTATTCTTCTTGGAAAATCATAGATACAGAAATTGTTTAAACATAAATTTACTTTCTGTTAAGACATAAGAACTTCATTATAGCTGTTTAAAATGTTTTATTTATTATTTTTATTTTATGTGTATGAGCGTGTTGCCTGCATGTGTGTAAGTGCACTTGTATTGTGCAATGACCAAGGAAATCAAAAGAGGGCATCAGATCCCCTGGAACTGGAGTTACAGATGGTTGTTAGCCACCATGTTGTTATTGGGAATTGAATCTGGGTCCTCTACAAGAGCAGTCAGTGCTCTTAACCAGTGAGTCATCTCTCCAACCCCTTTTATAGATGCTTAATTCTAAATATTACCTTAATGACAAGCTATAACTAACCTAAACAACAACTTTTAGCATAAGCAGAAGGTAGAGTGCACACTCCTGACTTCGTATCATGGGGAAGATTCAGAGTTGTTGTTGTCCTTAAATGAAGATACTCACATGAAACCAGAAGGCTGTGCTGGTAGCTCTCAGTGGAGGAAAGTGGTGGAACGAAGCAAGTATACCTTCAAGTCCACAGATTTCCTCTTTTTTAAGTAGCAATAATTTTACATATTTTGATTCTTTAAAGAAGTCCAGAGACAAACTGAAACATCTGGTGTTTTCCTCCTAATACCCTCTTCAGATATGTGACAGCCATTCTTTATATTTATACATGGGAACTCTATATCCCCAAAGAGGGAGATTCTTGCCCACTATCACACAGACATGCTGCAGCAAGGGTAGAAGTTAAACATAGGAAACTTTGCTTCCACTCTGCTTTAGACATTAGTCTTTAAGTATAGCTCTGTGAAACTTCCTTCTCTGTGGAATTGCTTTTTAAATATGCATATTTGGGTCATTAAAAATCACTATTTGAAAATATTGAAATATTGAATTTTTTTTTCCATTTGCACAAATAGGAAAGACAAAGATGTGGCATTTTATCAAGAGTTCTTAGTGTATTTTCCTTGGTAGAGTTTCCTAAGAAGGTCACTTTCCATAAATAAACTTTACTTTGCATCTCCTCTTTCATTCAGCCCTCACGAGGTCATGTCATTTCACTAGACAGACACTTTCCATTCATTTCTTATTAAGTTAGGAATAGCCTCTACTGAAATTACAAGAAATAGATCACTACATTACAAAAAGAAATGGGGGATCAGGGAAGGAATGAGGCAATAAATAGAAATGCTGATATTTCTGTTTCTGCCTGTTGTAAACTCACAAATGCACCAGTCCCAGTGAGACATGCATGAATCAGACACATTCAATATGCAATATATGCTCCAACTGAATGTGTGTGTGAGAGAGAGAGACAGAGATAGAGACAGAGACAGAGAGACAGAGAGACAAAGAGAGACACAGACAGAGGCAGGGAGAGAGTCAGAGACAGAGAATTCCTAGCTAAAAATGTTAGGCCTTTAGGTCCTGCCTCAATGATATGGCACATGTTACCTTAAGTGACTGGGCTAGGTGACTCAATACTCTACATCATCTGGAAATCATCAAAGCTCCTGAAAGGCAGGGGAGATGTTTACCCAGAGGACTTGCTGGAAAACTGGCAGAGGATAAGCCTTGCTGTGGCAGTGAATGTTCTGGGCAAACCATCAATTGGAGAGCTGCTATGGGCTATCCCAGAAAATCACAAAGAAGTCAGGACCTTCCGTTTGTAGAAGCCAACAAGTGTAGGGATGAAGGCTACCCCAGAGGGATCATCAAGCTATTTGGGTAGTTTGGAGGAATGTATAGACCAAAATTTTTATACATTATATATACATATATATGTATATATAATCGAGATCTAGATGAAAATTTAGCTGAGGTGCTGAGGATGTAACGAAGTTGGTAGAGTGCCTGTCCATCACCCATGAAGCCCTAGGTTTGGTCCCTAGGATCATAAACCTACGGTGGCAGTGCATACCTGTAACCTTAGCATGCAGGGGGTGGGGGCAGGAGAACTGAGAGCTCAAGGTCATCTTCAACTACACAAAGAACTCAAGGCCAGCCTGGAGTATAGAATGCCTTATCTAAAAATAAATAAATAAATAAATAAATAAATCCTTAGCTTAGTGTTCTAATGACATAAGGAAATTGTGTCAAAGTAACAAATTTGTTATGTTCTTCTTTCATTTCTAAACAAAATATTAATTAAAAGGTTACCTATCTCCCCTAATCACTAACCCTCTCAGAATATGAGTGTAGAGGAAGATTGCCAGCAATCCTGTCATTAAGAGACAGAATTAAATTGCTCAAAAGAGAAGGGGCCTTCTGGCTAGAAGCCATCCATCCACCCTCAGAGCCACAGCCTTCTATTCTGCCCATCCATCAATATCTAGAGAAGGTCACACATGCAGAAATGACCATATCATGCATTTTTTACTTCATGATATACTATTTTGTAACAGGGTTTCACTATGCAGCCCAGGATGGCCTCAAACTCATGATTCTCCTGCCTCCTCCTTCCAAATGCTTGAATTACAACTGTCTACCACCATATTTGATGCAGCTTTGTGATTTTCTAAATGGTCTATGAGAAACCTGTATTGGAAAAGTGGGAAAACATGACATACAGAAGCCAAAGCATTGCCCAGAAGTCATGACTGAACAGGAGGTCCATGCCTGCTATCTTCCCCAGGCTTTGATGAATGGGGTGGGTGACTAAATGACTCATGTTCCTTCCATGGACAGCACCCAAGTAGGGCTGCTTTAGGAATATGTCAGCTCTGGGGCTCTCCTGTGCTAGTCTGGTGGCATATGAGTCATTGTGACATCTATCTGAGTCTCTTTCCTCATAAGGAAAGGGAGATACTAGAGTATTATTAGCCCTAACATCTTCCCCAGTTCATTTCCACCATCTGGGAAATGAAGCTAGCATGCCTCCCCTTGAGTTTACACTGAACTGCATTGAGCTTATTTATGTAGTTGTCCAAAAAGAATAACTCTCCAATTTATCCATTAGTCTCATTTTTGTAAAGTCACCATTTTTAAATAGGTCATAAATCATCAAAACATATTCAATGGGAAAAATCCAATTAAACTATGATTTTTTTTGTTTTATCAGCCCCAATACTCCATGTTCCATCTTCTCAGTCTTAACTAAAAAGTACAAAATCATTATAGTAAATTTTTTAATTAATTTATTTTTTATTTTGTGTGTATGAGTATATTACTTGCATGTATGTAAGTGCACCCATGTCATGCAGTGCCTGTGGAGGTCAGAAGAGGGCATTGCATCCCCTGGAAATGGAGTTACAGATGGTTGTTAGCCACCATGTGGGTGCTGGGAACCAAACCCGGATCCTCTGCAAGAACAGCCAGTGCTCTTAACCTCTGAGTCATCTCTTCAGCCCTTTTATAGTAAACTTTAAAAACCTACCAGGAGAAAGGGGACCATGAGGTGGGAAAAAGAGATTTTTGAGGAGCAAATGAAAAGCATGAAACAGGGCTTATGATTTGAGAGATGAATGGGGACCAGCAAGAAGGGCATAGAGGAGAACAGTGGACAGGGGGTGGATAAGAACAAAGTATAACAATATACATGTATGAAAACCCATAATGAAACACATTACTTTGTATGCTAACTTAAAATTAGTTTAAGCAGAAGGAGTAATACTGTAGGTTTAGGCATGGATAGGGGCTGGAGGATAGGGGAGAGATGGAGGTTGGATGAGCATTAACCAAAACTAAGGATGTATGAAAAGCTTTATGAAAACCCACAACTTGGTAATTTAAAAATATTTATTTGCTTATTTTTATTTTATATGTATGAGTGTTTTGCCTGTATGTGTGTAAGTGCACCCATGTCATGCAATGCCCACAGAGACCAGAGGGCATCAGATCCCCTGGAACTAGAGTTAAGGACTGTTGTTAGTCACCATGTGGATGCTGAGAATCAAACCCAGGTCCTCTGCAAGAGCAGTCGATGCTATTAACCACTGAGTCATAGCTCCAGCTCAATGTTTGGGATTGGGGGGGGGTCTTTTTGAGTCAGGGTCTCTCCCAGCTAGCCTGGAACTCACTATATAGACTAGGCTGGCCTCGAACTCATGGAGATCCCCCTGTCTCTGACGCCCAAGTGCTGAGATTAAAGGTGTGTGCCACCATGCCTGGCTTCTATTTTTTTGTTGTTTTTTGTTTTTGTTTTTGTTTGTTTTTTGTTGTTGTTTTTATTTTGTTTTTGGTTTTTTTTTGTTTTTTTTTTTTGGTCTTTTTGAGACAGGGTCTCCCTGTAGCCCTGTTTTGTTTTTTTAAAGAGAGTTTGAACAGAGGTACATTCCATGGGTGGATAATGCAGCTCCCAGAAGCCATGGATCATTCAAAGAAAATCCAGTTATAGTGCCAGGTATAGGCTACCTCCCTATGAATTATTGATCAGGGTAACACTAGAGGTCCCCAAAACAGTATAGACTATTGCCATTGTTTTTAGTTGACCACCAGAACTACATGATAGGATCTTATTGCTGAAGATATCACACACACTTTGGTTGCAGGACATAGAGAAATCAAGCTGGAACTGACTTGGAAACTTCCTCCTGCTGGCTAGCTTTCACAGCAACAAGGTGTTATGAATGCTTCTGGGAGAGAAAAGTCACCAGCAGTCTCACCTAGTGGCAGATCCTGCATGCTACAATACTTATCTATCACAAGATGCACCTGCTGGTGCAACAGTGGCATGAAGGCTATGGGGATGACCACTTTCTGATTGGAATTGAGACCTACTCCACAGAAGAGAATTCATGCCTGATACTATAAATTTGGTCAAAAGCCCATGACTGGTGAGCCCACAGCCCCTACCAGGGAGCCTACTCCTGCTGTTTCGCTAAATGGACATGTTGTCAAACTACCTTCTAAATATTTATATTTATGCCCGTAGATTAGTGTTGCTTCCTACCTTGGTCAAAGAAGCTTTTTTTTTTCTGTGGGGGGCATCAGATAGCACAAATACTCTTAACTGGTCAAAGTGCTGAACATAAGTGACTGTTGAATACTCACCCTGAAACAGGATATCCATAGCAGCAGCACCACCACCATAACCACCCGCTCCCCAAGGCTGAAGGAACATTGTAGAAGATGGGGAAGAAAAAAATGTAAGAGCCAGAGGATGAGAAGGAGTGCTGTGAAACACTGTCTTCTAGACATGACATGGTCTGTACACTCACGAATTCACAGCAGCTCTGGTTACCTGCACAAGGCCTGCACAAAATGGAGCCTGTCAACATTCCAGCATAGCCGGGGAAGCGTCACACAAGACCCCAACCCTAGCTGAGGAGCTATTGATAGTTAAAGGCTGCTGGGGGAAGAGGAATCATGTTTCATTTTCATCAGGGATATGGCCACTGGTAAATTGACATGATCCAGTAAAGTACCCCTCACCCATGCACATGCAAAAAAACTAATTAGACCCAGAGGGTTATCATTTTCAAAGACATGAAAGTATGAGGGGACATGTTGGGAAGAAGGCACTTCAAGAGGGAAATGGGGGATAAGAGATGATAATGAGGGGTTAAGATGATCAAAATATATTACAAACACATGACATTATCAAGTGAATTTTTTTTCATTAATTTTTAAAATGACTTTTAAAGAAAGTGGCTCCTTGACAGTTGTTTGCTTTAGGTAACTACAAAACAAGATAACTTTAGACAGAGTTTACAAATGTGCAGGCATGCATGCAACTATATGATAGTGAAAATGACAAATAACAATAATAAAACCTTAATAATCTATTCCCAGTTTACCCTATGAAAGTCAATGTGGACTTTCCTTAGCAGTGAATTATTCAAATTAATTGATGTTTTAAAAGTCAGTGGATATTTAGGTAGTGGTTAAGGCATGAAGAATTTTTAATAAAAAAAATTTCAATTTTATGAAGCAACATCAAACTAGTTTTGGAAAGCAGTTTATACTTTATTTCTCTTCTGTTGCTGTACTATCTTTAAAGGACGGAAAGGATGCTCCTAAACAGAGTTTGAACTTTCTGTTTGTTCGTTTACTATGTATTTTCATAGAAAACATCAAATTGTTATTGATTTTAAACCAGAAAGCCAGGTTGAAAATGTCTAAACTAAGTTTACTTAGTTGATAATTACTATTTTTAATATTTCATCTAATATTTTAATATTATAAAATTAATTAACTGTAACATAGAGGTTTACATGACTCCTTTTAAGAGCAAATTCATTATATTTATTTATTTTGTGTTTTGTCTGTGTATGTGTGTGGGTGTGCATGTTTCAAGACGTATGTGTGGAGTCAGAGGACAACTTGCAGGAGTTGGTGCTCTCCTTCCATTATGTGGGTTCCCAGGATCAAACTCAAGTCCCCAGATTTGATAGCAAGTGCCTTTGCCCACAGAGCCATTTTACCAGCCCTTAAGCATGAATCAAATTCTGGGCACTCTTTCTGGCAGTTCTCCTAGATAACTTACTGCTTCTCATGCCAAATATGAGCACTCTTGATTTATACAAAAGAACATTTTATTCATACTAAAAGTCTTTCCAGCTTATTCTATGTCCTAAAAAAAGGATCTGCATTAAAAGTCTACCTTCTGGAGTTCAAACCAGAATCTGATGAGGTTAACATTAGATGGAGCCTTCCAATCTAATTGCAGACTAGTATTTTGTGGAACCAAGGCAGGTTTCTCTGGTGTGTCAAACATTTTGACAATGACAGGATGACTCTCAGCACACCACATTTCCTCTGAATGGCAGGCCAGAACCTTTTTGTTTAAAAAAAAAAAAAAAGTTGTTTAGTTCTCTCAAAACATGAACTTTAACATGGCCATTAGAAAGCACCCAGTACACTCAGTACCTTCAACACATACAGCTGTCCACCAGACAGTCTAGGCACAAGGAGAGCAAGCCTGCTGCTTGGAAATTCACTTTGTCTTAAAGGAGTCTCAGGAATCGGAGCCAAGTGTGACACAAGCAGCTGGTAGCGAACTGACTCCTTAGGTCCATTTGGCTTCTGTGATTCTCTCCAGAATATATGGAAACTGGTGTCTGACAGCACAGTTGCATTGATGTAACAAACAGCCCCAGGTACTGAAATAAATAGCAACAAAGGATAACGGGCATTGCAACAGCACTAAAAGGGGGCAGAAGCAGAGTCAGCTGTGGCACAGTGCTGTCACGTGAGTAGGATGCGAAGCAGAGGACCAGAGGAAAATCAGTCTCTTACCTAGCGAAAGCCAGCGGGCCGCCCAAGAGGATGGCGCCTACCTTTGCCTAATGACCAAATTATTCTCTGACCCCAGATCAAGGACACAGCCAATGATGAACTACGGAATTTGGATGAGTTTTGCAGATATCAGCAGAAACAACTGAAAGAAACGATCTCCACACTCAGATTCTAGGTCTACCGACCGTCTTTAAGACAGTGAAGCTGTGTTACTCTAGCTCACAGAGGGCTCCGAACATTTCACATGATGTCTTGGTTTTCCTACCTCACAGCAGGCACACAGACTTAGGAGAACATGGAAAGAGAGTGACCCCGTGTGGCCAGGCTACAGAATGAACTTCTTGGTTACATTAAGTTTTGATGTTTCATTTCCTAGTTTCTTTGAGTTTTGCAGGACTTTTATTCAGCGTCTTCAAGGGTTAGAGCAAGGGTCAGGTTGCTCAAGTGTTTTTCCACAAGCTCACTATTCTTATTAAAATTTAAAAGGTCCCAAGACCTACAGGCCCCTCTCTCCGGGGTAAGTCAATCACCCCCTCCCTGCCTTGACTCCCCCAGCCTCATTCACCCTCCCATCTCCCCTACCAGTCTCTCCTCCTAGTCTGGGTCCTGTCCTATTCCTTCTCTTGGTGCTCCAGATACCTGGGGAACCACCACTGCTTCTTCTTGATCCTTTGCACCCAGAGCAACTCAGTTCCTTCTCAGGTCCCCAGGAGCACTGCTTCTGGGCCTGGCCCCACCTTCATCTCCCTCTGCTTCCCTGGGTCTGCACAACCCGCCACCTTCTTTCCTGGACGCTGGGCTGACCTTTCCTCTTCCTGATCCTTTGCATCCAGACCAACCCAGCTCCTCAGTGCAGTCCCCAGGAGCCCTTGGAGCCGCTTCCAACTCCTATCTTCCTTTGCATCTATGGGTGACACAGACACCAGCTGCCCTAGACCAGCATCTTTTCTGGGCCAGGCTCCCAGGCCAGTCCAACCCCCAAATTC